CAGCTTGTATAAATTAGCCAGCTTGTATAAATTAGCTCCAGTGAAGCTGTATTGATTCGTGCCACCTTGGGACCGGGCACCAAACACCTCCCTTTGATGAGCACAGTGCAATCAGTTGGCATGAATGTTGTCAGAGGATGGTGCAGATTGCAACGCTGAGGCTGGCAGCCCCGACCATAGCACAAAGCATGTTCATCTCATTTCCAAGTATGGAAAATGTTTCTCAATCACTTGATTCCAAAAGGCAAATTTGACTTTTTAAACTGCAAATATAGTTCTGGCCTGGGGATGATTTCCTTTGTAAATGCATGATGAAATAATCCCATAAAGAAAAAAAATACAGCTCGCATGTGGCTTGATATAATCCTTATTTATTGGTCATTTTGATCCTGTACACAGCAAAATAGTAATATGAATACACCATCTAAGCTATAAACACGTTATGTACATACAGAGAAGGAACAGTTAATTTTACATAAGATGGAGAAGGCACATAATGCAGTGATACACTATGATCATTTTGAGCTGGCCAAATTCCCGCTGCAATATTTGTATTCTGCCTAGTGTAAATATTCCTGGGACTCTGAAGTGACTCGTCACTGTTTCACAGGCTGGATGTTGCCCTCTTCCCAAGGGAAAAGGGAATGGACTGTGAAAGGGGACTAAGTTGCTTCATCCTGCCCCTGCTTCTGAGTATCTTCAGAGGGATTTGGTGCAGAGCAGATCATGTGTTCCAACTTAGCACCTTCTCTTTCTTTGTAGAAGACTGTTAGACATGAAGAGAAAGTTTAAATCTGTAAGGTTTGGGAGTATATGGTGCATTTGTTTCTTTAATGGATAGGTTGCAAGTGATCATGAATAAATTATTTTACTTTCAGCTTTTGAGTCAAATAGTGAGATAGATTAAACAATGTCATTTTGAAATATTTTAAGTCTACTGTGTGGAGATACGTCCATATTAACGGAGGTTATCAGTGCTTTTTGGGAAACCAGAAGCCAATCTCACTATTTTTTTCCTTATAGCAGCACAAATGCTCTCCACAACTCTTAGATATTATTGCTCCTCCCTGAATGTCTGTGCTTCTATACACATTTTATTATACCCCTGGGCTGAGAAGCAGTAAATAGCTTGACATCTGCTATATCAGTCCTAATCTGTGGTTTAAATTTCGGCAAAGATGGTATTAGACACTCTATAATGTTTTCTCTTTTGTTTTAACTGTTGTTCCCTGGCTGAGATATGGCCTGGAAGGGTCAGTCTTCCTAACCACGTGTTGCACGGTCACTATAGCATGTTAATATAGTGACGGCTTTGGGACTTTTTGTGCTTCTGCAGGCTGCCATTGCGCTTTTCCAGCTGCAGTAGCTGCCTCACTGCCTTCTTTGGATGTTGCTTTGTTAATTCAGCTTTTCAGAAAGCGTATTTAGAACTGACATTTGTGCCTTTGGGCCCTTTTCTTGTTTGTTTCTCATAAGATCGTAAATAGAGTTTTGAATATTTCACATTTTAATCCCCATTTGCAATAAAACATGCTCCCTCTAAATTATTTTACACAGATCTGCTTCAGGAGGGAATTCTTATTCCTGACTCACCATCATCCTCCCTCCTTTTCCTATGGCCTCACTGCTGTGAAAGCCCAGCTTCACCCTTGCTGCAATCCAGCTTTTGCCTCCACCTTCCTCAAGCGCCATCCACTTTCATTTCCTTTTCTTCTCTCGCTTTTGCGTGAATTTTCACCACTCTTATTTTTATTGTTTCCTTTCCGCTGAGACTGATGCCAATCACATACGACTTACTCTAATCTTAGTTTAAAGGGTTTTGCCCTGCCCTCTGTCTCCTTGACTTACCTTCTACAAATCACACTCATATTTCACTGTGAGATTTTCCCTTTCTTGTGCTTTTCTGGGTGTCTTTTTAATTCTGTAGTAGCATATTCCTCCAGAGCTCTCTTTGCTCTGTATGAAAACTCTTCGGGCTTTCATCTTCTCTGCTTGTTCTTCCTCTGTACATGTTCCTGGGTATCTTGCTTAGCCCTATAGATCCTCTGTGTGGCAACACTTTCTCAAATATTTTATTACCTCTGTACAGATTGCTTTTCTACTGTCTCCAAAATTTCATCCAGAAAGTCAGACCTCTGAGAAGAGCAGAATTACTTTCCAGCTACTTCCTTATTCTGGCTCTGTCTTTCACTGTGAACAATAACGCTTTCCTTCAAGTTAGTTCTCCATGCAAACTGCCTCCATCTTCAGCTGCTTTCTCTCTTTTGTCCTTTTTCTTTGAATCATATAATAATTTAGTTTGGAAGGGACCTGCTGAGGCCATCTAGTCCAACCTCCTGCTCAAAGAAGGGCAAACTTCAAAGCTAGATCTTTATTATAACCATCCTTCTGAATTGACTTAATCTCTCTTTTTCTTTCTCCATCTCTGCTATTCACTGAGATTTCAATCAATTTTATTTCTCCTTTTAGCTCATACAACCATTATAATTGACCAGAAATCCAAAAACGCAAAGCAGGTGTGTGGAAGCATCTTCCTTGTACCTGCTTTACTATGCCAACGCTGCTTCTGCTACTTGTGCCCACTTGGCGCTTCTAGATTCCCCCCGGTTTTCAGAGCTCTGCCCACAAGCCCCTCCCAGCCTGCAGCCTTACAGCTCTTCTTGTCCGCTTACTGCTTGCCCTCTTGTTCCCACAGGTTCCTGCGTCTGTGCCATCTTTGTCTAGAAAACGGCTTTGTCTTTGTGTCTCTTGCAGCTTTTTTTGGGTGAGGCTAAAGCAATATGTGTAAGAACCTGCCCAAATCGCTCCTGCTTCTCTTGCGGTCTCTCATCCTCACACGCTGTTCTTTGCTGTCTCATTTGCTGAGCGGTATCTACCTCAAACTGTACACTCTTTACTCAGTTTCTTCTTTTTTCAGATATTTATTTATCTTTCTAAAAATGATCATGCCTAACAACCTTTTTAGTATTTTTTTATTATGCCTTAGCAGTGTCTCATAGGGCAAATACTGGGCTAAACCAAGAGTTTGAATTGAAAACTATTACCTCTGTTATTACATAATGCCATGATTTGAAAAGATCTTCCCTGAATCTCTGCTATCTCTTATCTGCCGTCACATTTCTGGTAACTTATTTTTCCGGTCTTTCCTTAGTTGCCATTTGAACTCTCTGGATTTAAATTGCATCTGTACAATGGAAATTGCATTCCAAATAATAAGCTTCAGCAGTAAAGCTGTAAATTGAGCTAGAATAAAATCTGTTGTGCATTTTCACTGTGACTACATTCTACTCTTTCAACTCAGCTTGAATCCTACCATCCGCTCACATTTTCTGTAGTGCCTTGTTTTGAAAGATATCTGTGAGGACTGCAAAAAATCCAGAATGTGCTTACTATCGTAGTTACTGCTAATCTTCTAATAGAAAAATAAATGTGAGTGACATTCATATTCAGTAATCCTTTAAGGGGTTCATTCAAAATGAATTATGAATTGATCATTAATTAAAAAGATGAGTTAAACTCTTGGATACCGTGTGTGCGTGCTCTATTATGCAACTCCTGGAACAGCCATCTGGGGTTTGATGTGTATATCTGGGATGTTTTGCAATTGCAGGAACGTATAAGCTGAACTGCAGGAAGAAAGAAATGCCATCATGGACTTTCCACTCCATTGCCTCTTTACTGTGGGTTCAGTTTGTGTGGAAGCAATGCTTATGCTTTAATTTCTTGACTACATGTGAAAAGCAACTGGATGAGTTACTGCTAAAATTTGCCTTTACAGTTCAAAACTGGCCTTGACCTGGGTGTATTTTTGCCACATCATGATCATTAAATCTCTTGAAGATTTTCAAATGTCTGTTTCATTATGAGATTTCTTCCGAACTTCTCCTATTATTCCATTACATTTTATGTGTTTGTTTCTTTTTCAACAAACAGTTGCGACCCTTTTGCTGCTGAGGTTTACAAGGTAGTTAAATGGGATTATTCCTGTTTTAAAAGAGGAAAATTGAGGCATAAAAATTTATTTGCCCATGATCATATGAGAAGTCTGAGCTCCAGGAGAAGCACCAAGTCTGTCGTAATTATTTCCAAGCCAGTGCTTTACCTGTAGGCCACTTCTGCCTCTTTCCTGGTATTTTCAATGAGCTTTGGGAAACGTTTTTGGGCATGCTTTTTGGCAGCCAATGTATGTTTGCAATGTGAGAAGCAACAGTTTTCTAAAATGGACCATCAGGTAATATTATAATAAGAAAATGGCAGTAGTGTGGATGCACAGAATTTTTTTAGGGTGTTTAGATTCAATGTGTCCTAAGAGATCAGATTGTGCCCACGGAATATTTTAGGACATCATAGTCTTTTATACTCAGAGAAATATGTGCTTTTGTGAAAACTGAAATTCTTTTCAGTAGAAGGTGGAAAGGCAGCAGGTAAAATGAGAGAACTGGAGGGAAGAAAACCAATTAAACTTGAAGCATTTATTTTGGAGAGTTTTCGCACAGCTTTCCTTTAATCCCTGATTAACAGATGAAAGTAGATATGCTAAGAAACAGCTCTAGTACTGAACCCTTTGATAACAGAATTATAATGTATTTATTGTACAGGCTTATTTGATTTGTCTGCATCATCTTCTGCAGCAGTGATTGCTAGGCAGTCAAAGGAAAACACAAATAAGAAACTGTTAGTCGTGTTGCATCCAAGACAGGCACTTACATGTATCCCAGGGGCATTACTGTCTGTACTGCTGATTACCAAGGCTGGAGTTTCCAGTGCAAATAAAAGTTGTCCTTGGACGGGTTGGTCCAAAACAATGATAAATGGCATTGGTTCACTTAACTACTAAGAGAATTTTAATGTTATTGAACTTAAAAGAAAAAATATTGAAAGCCCAAAGTCATTGTAATCTTTATAGTGAGTATTCCTGGAATCAGAATGAAAAATAACATATCAAACCTATGTACACTGTTCCTTTTCAGCCATCTTCCAGAATGGAGCAGCACTTTCTTCTAAATCAGTCTTTCCATCGGCGGTGGCTGCACCATGTTCCACATCTCTACCCGAGATCCCTCCTTCTCCTGCCGGCTGGGGCTGTAGGTCCCTTGAGTCGCCCGTTTATTGGCAGCGATGACTGAAACCACGACTGCCAAGAAGAGGATCAATAACAAGGCCAGCGTTACTGAGCCAATGGAAGCGAATATGTTCGAGATCAAGTCAGTTGTCAACTGGAAGGATTGAAATAATCGCAATATAATTTACGTCAAGAGAACACTGAGACACGCTTGAGCTACCATGGAAGGAAAATGAAAATCATGCTATGGATAGGGCTTTGCATAGACGAGCTACTGCTGAAGCTCCGTTTATTGGTAGAGAAGTACATTAGCCCCTCCAGATTTTGTTCATTGGACTCTTCAGAAAATTACACACACAGTGCAGGACATTTAATATACAAGGCAGAGCTGGATGAATTTCACATAATGAATTATTTCATTTGACAGCTTCCTTTCTGCTTGAAAAGAACCTGTGAGTTAATATGTCTGCGGACTGTGGTAGTAATTCAGCAACTATTTGTTTAATCACTTTAATAATAATTCATTATACGTAGTTTGGTTGTGAACACATTGTTGCTAGTCTTTGCTACTGCAAGTTAAACAGGAGTTATTTTGACTGGATATATATAGTCACATTTCTGTTTCTCTTGCTGGAGGAGTCAAGTTTATGTGAGTACTTGTACTTACATGTAGAAAATTTGCTTACTGTAAATATTTTTGTAAAATGTACTGTTTCTACAGACATTCCTGCCAGTAAACTTCTCTACCAGCATGTTTGCATGAAATAAGTGTACAGAGGCTGCACAGGAGTGCAACTGAAAAATCTATTCAGTGAGAAATTAATCAGTATATGTTCACAAATATGTTCTAAAATATTCATCCAGTTCTACATATAGGCTTTGTAGCTTCATCTACAGAAACACAACCAGTACAGTACAGGATGAAAGTAAGGATGCTCTGATTTTTTTTTCTGTTTTCACGTGGCAGTAGGAAATGTGATAATGTCAGAAGGCACAGTGCGCATAAACAAATCTGCCAGTTGAAAAGCTTTAGACCAGAGAAATTTCATAGTTGGTAGATAAACGTTTTATACACATCTATGTATGTGCTTTTATGTGTAAAAAATGCTTATGGTGAGGTAAGCCAATGAAGTGATGTGGTTAGTGTGGAAAAGTGGTCGCTACGGACAGAATGACCCTAACAGGATCTGAACTTCTGGGCAGATTCTGCCATCCATCATCTTTTGATTTGTATGACGAGTGACAGCTCAACTGCTATAGATGAATGTATGCTCGAGGCTGAACTTTCAAATCCCAAAATATTTAGAAACAGAAAACAGCAGGTCAAAGCCCATTTCCCAGTTAGATACTGCATGTTACAGAATATTTTAGTGACCTGCTTACTCGTCATTTCTAAGGAAGTGCAATTACAGTCCTGAGAACGATGGCGATTTTGCATTCAGCAATGGATGTACTGTAAGAGGATGCTATTGCTGTGTGTACATTGCTTGGACTCATGCTGCTCAGATCCTTTGCAGAAGAACGACAATGCCAGAGGGAAAATGTTAAAACAATCCTTCCTCTTTTTTTTCTCTCTCCACCTCCACGCTGATGTAAAAGGTCCTACTATAATAATGAAAGCAAGTTTGGCTCAGAGATTCTCTGTGGGGGATGCATGACCATGTAGGATATTTTCCTCTGTCCTTGATGGCTAAATATATGGTTCCTGTGATTTTAAAAACATTTTTTCCAATAGAAATAATCTAGTACAGGTGACAGACCACATGACTCCAACCCTAAAACAAGGTGGCATGAAACATGTTGGTCTATCAAATTGTATTGGATTGGGAAGGTCATTTCATCTTTACAGGGTGTTGTGGATATATTTGAGATCTTGGTGTTTCTCTGTACTGCCTTAGATTATATGACCCTTGTTCCTCTTGTCTCAGAGAGGCTTCAAATTTTTAATGGAATTTTTATTCTCAGAAGCTATCTTTTGTTTGCATTGTATGCTCTGGGAAACTGAGGACCAAGACAGTCTAAGTTAACTCTGATCCTAGGGTTGAACAGGACATTTGTGAAAGCAATTCACTACCATAGGCAAATGGATGGTGTTGCCTGGTCTCTGGTATGTGAAACTGCTAACTTATTCTCCTATTCTCCAGTCCATATTGTTTCCATTCCTGTTGTAAATATGTCTGTATCTATGGAGACATTTTCATTTATATCCTTCAAATTAATTTTATTTCTTGAAGAAAAATTTTGTGCAAAGGGGGAGAAAAAAACTCTGTAACTTGTTAAAATACAGTCACATACCTAAACCTTACTTTCAAGTTAAAATCACCATAACAGGGCTTTTTTTTTGTTCTGCAATAGTTACTTATTACAGAAACCTTACCCATAGCACACCATAGCAATCCACTACACATTTTGCTCCAATCTTTGTTTCTGTTTAATAACTATTATTCATTCATTGGATTTGGTTTGGTCAACCAGTGAGTTGAACTTGAAAAATCCACTGAAAATTGCCTGTATTGCCTGTATCTGTGTTGGACAGAACACTTCCTCTTGAGCCAGTATGCAAAAAAAGTTACCCCACTGATTAAAATCTAGAGAGCTGGGGTTTTTTTACCATGATCAGATACATAAGCTTTATTTCTATGTTCATGTTGCTTCTAATTTCTAAATATGAAAAAAATGACCTGTATGTCATCTTTCTGGGTGGATTCTGTTGATCCAAAACAAAATCTAATGTTCAAGTGCTGTCCCCTGGTTTATCAGCCCACAGATCACTGCCCAAGTTTACAGTATAGGTATCCCCCTTAGCAGTAGCACTGAACTGATAACAAGAGTTGCCAGAAGGCTCTGCAGTCTGGTCCCATCAAAATCAACTGCTTCTTTAGTAATTAATGGCTGAAGAGTTAAATTAACTTGGAAAATTAACTGGCTGATCTGGAAAACAAAAATCTGGAAAGTTCTGTCCCCCATCATCTCAGAGCCTGTTTACACAGTATTTGGTGATGATGATAGACTGAAATAATTGTAACTGGTGAGCCTGAAAAGAAAAAGGACTGAGCAACATTTTTAGAAACATAGTCCTGCTAAGATAGCGGAAAAAAGAGGTTTTCTGTTACTGACCCTACTGTGTATTTTGCATAATGGTAGGGAGTGGACTTTAAAAAAGCAGTTTGAACATCAAGGTCCTATATCACTGCTTCAGGCTCTTCTGTGGTAAGTTCTTGCCTGTTGCTTCCACCATAGATGGATCTAGGCTATGAACCTTGCCGATGTTTCAAACAGCAGAGCCCCTCTGACTGCTGTGGGACTGACTGCTCATGCATGTAGCTGCTTATCTTGGTGCTCACGGTCGCTTAGCGGATCACCCGTGGCTGCGAGTCTGTGGGAGTCCTAAGGCACTGGATGGTGAGCAGTGCACAACTGATGTCCCCTTGATTAGACCACCACACTGCAACATCACTTTTCAGCTTCATATCACACTGGCTGCTATTCACTTCCCCATGTTAGCTTGTTAAGATCTGGTGATTGAATTGACCACTTGGGAGATGGCCACTTGCTATGAATATACAATTTTTTGGTGTGTTTATCACAAAGCCGTGGCAGAGTCCCATGCAAGAAGTGTTCTGTGGCCTACAGCTTCAAAAGCAGAAGGGGAAAGCACTGGAAAGGACAATGTGAGGCAAACAGCACAAACAAAAAAAGCCACAGGACAGTTGGAAATTTATGAAGAGAAACAAGTTACTGAATTTTTTTGCTAAAGACCTTTGTTGTCAGGGAAGCCTATAAGGTCCCCATACACCGTGATAGCCTTTCAGAAATAATTCTTGCTAATAAATACCACATGGTGATCACAGCTATTTCTGAACATAACTTCAGCACTGCTTATGAATAACTAAATATATGTAGGGTAATTGAAGGTGGGTTAATTTACTGGCTGGGCAATACCTTAGAGATTCTCATTGCACTTTAAGCAGGAGATTGAACTGGGAGACCTCCTGAGGGCTCTTCCAACCCAAATTATCTTATGAGCCCATTTAAAAGGTAGTCAGTGACAAAACAGTTGTGAGAGTTCCCCTGCCCCCAACGCACCATAGCTGTCGATAAAAGCTGTACCCTTAATGGTAATGGATGCTGATGGCAAGATGATGTCATGTGCCATGGTAATACCAACAAAATGAAGTCTGCTAACATTAGAAGGCCAATCTGCTTCTCGCTAAAATATTTTATGTAGCATATTCTATGTATATATCTTCGGATGTCAGCTGGAGCAAGACAAATTTATTTTGGCAAAATTTAAAAAAAAAAGGAAGAAAAAGAAAATAGTCTTGAATTTAGTTTTCATGTAGTGAACAGCTTCATCTGCAAAGACAGGAGGAAATGCAGAAAAAACCTTTTTTTTGTCTCTTTTTAAAACAAGGTCTTTTGGCTTTTCACTGCTGGTTTCATTTCAAAGCTGATTAATTTTTAGGTTTTTTAAATTATTAAATAAAAATATTTAAGATGTTTAGATTAGATAAAATAAATCATTGGATAGAGTGAAAATTCATTGTAGGGCTGGGTTTTGCTTTTCATTTGGTTATTGAAATAGATTGATTGTTCAGCCTTGGTTTCTTGATTTGCTTTGTAGGTGAACAGTTTGGATAAGGAGGGCCCAGTTTACAAGTCAAAGCTCAGTAGCATTTGTCAATCCAGTGTATGTATGCTTATCTTTAAACAAGTCATCTTCCAAATGGTTTTTTTATAAGAGGGGAACATTAGGGATTTGCTGTATATGAACGTTTCCATGTGTGCCAAATGTCAAAGGCAAGTGGAATAGCACAACAGAGCCAGCAAAATACACAGGGCCTCTTCCTCTTGTGTGTTTTACATCAGCATGACTTAGCTGATCTAATCCTGCTTTATGTCAATACGAGAGATGAGAATTATGGCCGCAGACACCAAGGGCTGAGCCAGATCATGGGGAGAGAAGAGCGAGCTGTGGTGCCAGAGGAGCAATCACTGTAGGTGTGAGAAAAGTAATACGAGCTTCCTTGGGATGCTGCTACCTGGACATGAGCTTTCCGTGGGAAAGTGTGGCTTGGGCCAAGGGTATGTGTCTTTGGGATGTGAAAGGCATAACGTGCTCTGAAAGCAGAAGCATGTCTCTGTTGCTGGGCA